GTCAGAGAGTCGAGTCAGCCTGATCTGCGGGATCGACTCATATGGTCGTAGAGTACCTAGGCCGAGACCCACCCTCCTGGCCTCCTGTATTTGCTCGATACCTTTGAGGTACGGTCGAAAATAAAACTTGTGCTCAATTTTGTTGTTACCGGTTTTATTGTCATTTAAAGTGGAGTGCTGCTGGTGGTATGGGGTGAGGTACCTGTGCAAGGCTTCTCTGATGACGTCTAAGGTCACCCTTAATTACCAGCATTCTCGTTCTCTCTCGTCTCAGTACCGCGGTGCACGGGTGCGAGAGCGAAGAGAAGAGGGTAGGTCGGGAGGGTGCTCTCCGTCCTGCGCCTTGTAGCTGAGATGAGCTTCACGAAGCGGGTGGTTAGCACCGCACGACTTATCTCGATCCTTGTCCAGGAAAGCGGGGCGCTCCACGAGCGACACGTCACGAAATAAAGACCCCCTCTCCACCCGCCCAGAGTACTATTTTGCATTTCCGTTTCTTTCAGAGTGGCGCGCGCAGATCCTCGGCTCGTCGGACCTGCACGTCAAGACGGGCTCGTCCATCACCCTCACCTGCGTGCTGAGCCAGGGTCCGCACGACCTGGGCACGGTCCAGTGGTTCCGCAACGACCAGCTGCTCTCCAACCAGGTGGGTTTAGAAAGCGGTCGCCTCGAGGAGAATGGCTCGCAGAACGTACGTCCGAATCGCTGTTTAGACTCGGCTCGGCGCCTGCGATGTGCAGGGTAGGCCAACCCGCGGTACACGCATGCACTGCAGGCGAGATGTTGCCTACCCGTCAGGCGCTCTGACAGCTTAAATAGGCTCAACTTGGCGGGCCTGTACCCTGGAAAACCAGAAGCGTTTCTAAGGTTGTCAAATTTTAATGCCCTTGTTAAGGCCGGAAAGTGTCCAAAGGCATTAAAAATTAGCACGTTTGGGTAGTTGTATAGGGGTGCGAATATTTAATGTGCTTGTAAGGCAAAATAACCCTTTGAGTCCTGCCAATGTACCGACGGATGGCGTAAGTTACATACTTTCTTCATGATACCGTCTTTAGGTCGGGAGCACTCGCCGGGCACCGTTGTGGCGTGTGCCTAAAGCCGCAAAAGCAGTACTTAACTGACTTCGCCCCTCGCCTCGTCCCTTGTGCAGGTGGCCGCGGACGTGCATCCGAACGCACTCGACCCCGAGCCGCGGGTGCGGATCACGGTGGCCTGGACCGAGGCGCTCACCTCCAAGCTGTTCATCGGCTACGCCAAGCCCAGCGATTCGGGCAACTACACCTGCAAGCCGACCAGCCTCGCAGAGTCGGCCAGCGTCAACGTGCACGTCATCAATGGTAAGCGCGATAGAGTTATGCTTTTCAGTCTCTATACACGTCAGGTGCTTCGTGACTCTTTTGAGTTACATTTAAACCGGATCACCGGGATTTCTACTGGCGTAGTGAACTCTTGGAATAGTAATAGTACCAACATCGTGCGGAGGTTTTATTCTCCAGTTTGGTGCAGATTTCCTTCATTTAAGATATTAAGCTTACGCTCACAAAAGAAGGAAAGAGGGACCAATAAAAATTATATTCC